TCCGAAGATTGTCTGATTCCCACAAGCCCAGCTCCACCCGGTAGTACACCCGATTTCGTAGCCAGTCGCTTGACTGCGTCGACGGATCCACTTCACCTCAAAGCAAACCTTGTGACAAGCACACCAGGCTTAGGATTCGCCTTTCAAAGCCAACCCAGCAAGGGACCTCGACGATTCCTTGCGTTTCCCCAAAATCAGGAGACGGTTAATGCACGCTCGCCTCTCGAGCAAGACCTACACAATCGCGACAGCAATCGCGACATCCCATCTGAGTACGTTCCCAACTCGGCTTCTCCAGCCACAAAGCGTTTCTCCAACGACGAACTCCATCGTCTCTTTGGCAATCGCACCTTCAACGATTGGAAAACCCTGGCAAACTGTTGCAAAGGCGGTAAAGTGGCCAATTTTGGAGAGACCCCAGCTTCCATTGGCGACTTCGTCAATGTACGTCGTGGACGACGCGGCAAGCAATCCAAAATTCCACCACCTGGCCACACAATTTGTGTGGACATTGGTTTCGGTGATGATGTATCTCCCGGCGGCCATCGATACTGTTTGGTAGTGGTTGACGCCGGATCCCGTCAGAGCTTTTGCTATGGGCTTCGTGATACCAGCGGATCCACCTTGGCCGAAGCATTTCGCCAGCTCTTCGTTGACATGGGACCCAAACGGGCTGAAACATGTTGCCGTATGCTGACAGATTTTGATCCAAAGTTGATTCGAGGCGAAGTTCGCCGATTGTTGCAAAGTCGGAACATTCGAACACTCTCCTCTGTCCCCTATCGCCAGTCCCAGAACGGCTTAGTCGAACGAAACTGGGGTACGGCAGTGGCAATGGCTCGAGCTTACCTTCAAGAGGCCAATCTGCCTCGGAAGTTTTGGTTTTGGGCAGTTCGCACAGCATTCGAGCGAATGAACATGATTCCATTGGACGTTGGAAAGAACGAAGATGGAACGACTCGATACGCCACACCGTTTGAGCTTTTCTTTGAACAACAACCGGATCTCCGTACCTTGTTCCCATTTGGCAGTGTTGGGTATTTCATGCGCGATCGCGACTACATATCCGGCAAACCAGTTGGGCGAAGCAAGTTTCAGTCCAAGACTTTCCCCGGTATTGCTTTGGGACGGAGTAAAGACTCCAATGGAATGCTTTTCTGGTCTCCGGAAACCTGCCAATTCAGTGTTGCCGCAGATTACTCCCTCGCTCCCCATCGACAGGTTCGAACCCACTGGCCGGAGCTGCTCAACGACGGCGGATTCCTCTTATCACTTTTGGACACCTCAGAACATCCCACTCCGTACTCTCTCGGAGACGTCCTGGTCGTTCAACCCGAAGGACCAGCATCTAAAACAGGCGAAGCCCCTCACACCTATGGTACCGTTATCTCCACTCCTATCACCGGAGAAAGACCAACATACCGTCTTCAGTTCGCCAACGGCACAACCCGGGATTTTATGCAGACTGATCTTTACGACTACTCCGAATGCGAGGCACATGAGCTGGAGTTTGACCCTAACCACGATCCGTCGAACGGTGATCCAATACATCCCCTACCACCATCATGGCTCAAGACGGGCCAAAAGGTCGGGTATCTTCAAAATGGTCAGCGACTTCTCGGTACTCTTGAACTGACCGCCAAATCCCACTGGTGCTTCGCACAACACGACCGAACTGGCCGCCGCGTTACCGAATTGGAGATTCCAAACCTACTTTCGGATTGGCGCACCTTTCTTTCCGACGACACCCTCCAACTGGGTCATCAGATTACCAACAGTCCTCTGCTACGCAACGAACCATCCTCGGATAGCCCCATGACGGGAGATCTTGGAAACACAACTGGAAACCGATCGGGATGACGATTTCGCGGACACGCCAGGCATGTCTCCACTAAGGGACTGTCGAAACCGTATCCCACATTCCTATGGCAAGCACTACGCGATAAAAAACACCCCGACTACGCCACGTGGCTGGCATCTTACGACGAGGAGCGAAATGGACTTATCTCTCTGGATACCTACGAGGAAATCAACGCCGCAGAGTACCAACGCCTGGTTCAGCGATACAACATCACCGCCATCCCCACCATGTGCATACACACGGTTAAAACGGATTCGGAAGGGAAACCTCTCCGCGCCAAGTCTCGCACAGTTGTAATGGGGAATGTCAAAGAACGATACTGGAGCAAGAACGATCTTTTCGCCCCCGTTATTATGAAACACAGTATTCGCGCTATCGTATCCCTTGCAATCTCTAAGGGACGCCGAGTCAAGCAGTGCGACGCCAAGAACGCCTTCTGTCACCCCACACTACCAGATGACGAGATTTGTGTATGCATCCCACCAAAAGGCTGCCCGTACTCCAAGCCGGGCACATTCTGGCGATTGAAGAAAACTCTCTACGGCCTACGGAGAAGTCCTCGTCACTGGTATCAAACGTTCCGCAAGGTGCTGCGACGGGATACAGCTTACAATTCAGCTTTACAGCTTTACAATTAGCAGGCTTATTCTAGAAAATAATCAATAACTGCTCACTTATTTGGAAATACAAACTTTACATCTCTTAGATCGTTAGATTAATCAATGCACAATGGTATTGTCGCATGGTAGCATGCGAGGTTATGAGATGTTACTCATTCTATTTCTTATATGTCTATCCCCTATGGTTGTCAATGGAATGTGCTACTCCTTGATGCAGATTGCTCCTGATGAGTTTCCTCTTGCATTCTTCATCGATAGTCCTTCCCTTTATTGCAACTCACTTCCCTTGGATTCGCTCGAAAGCAATCCCCTTGTTCTTACTCCTATTGACGATCGTAATCTCAACAAGGACGTTCATCCTGTCGTCGATCGAAATCGCGATGAGGATCCTATATTATACCATGGACTCCTATGGGAGTCCACCTTTCTTAATCCTATTGACGATCGTAATCTCAATGAGGATCCTATTATCTCTGTCACAGTAGCCACTGCTACTGCTACTGCTATCTCTATCACCGGTACCACGAACATATCGATCGGCCGAGTTAACAGCAGTCGAGGATCGATCGCTCGAGTTAACAGAATTCATCGAAAAATGAGGCTTGACTGCATATATAAGGCTCGGCTTGTGTGTCATGCCTTGAATCATGCTTCGAGGGTCTTTATTATCGATTCGAATTGGCTGAGTCATGCTTGCCTTATATCTTCGAAGAAAACTCCTCACTTTTTCATTAACTCAAACAACAACAACACGGAGACCCACACGGAACGATCCATCGCGATCGCTCGTGTTGTTGTTGATCAATCGGCAGTTGGTCTCTGCTTACCCAGGACCGGCATTGGTCGTTTGGTTTGGCTTGCAGCGAACTGGCTTGCAGTTTGTCGTTTGAACGAGCAATCAATCGCTCCGTACGAGTCAAGATCGCGATCGATTGTCTTGAAACGAGCGATTAAGCAACTCGAAGTGTTACGACGAAGTTCAAACGACGAGAACTCGCTTGCAGTTGTCGACACGAAAGACTGTTGAAAGCTCATAAATTCCATCTTCGATTGACTCGATTGACTGGATATCCACCCCTCTCTTGTTGCCACCGTTGCTTGTTGCCATTGCCATTGCCGCCTGTTACTTTGTTTATGCCTCCATTCCATCTTTATTGATGGACCTTGACGACGCTTCCTCTGTCAGCATCTCATCTTCAACAACAGCACGCCAGCACCAGCATCCTTTTCAGTCCACAAGGCTTCAGACAGCTTCTTTGAACGATCCATCATCCACCATCTGATCTCCAACCATGACTGCAGCACCATTGACCGCAGTTCAATTCCAGGAGCTCCTCCAGCACATTGGGAAAACCAAAAAGAAGACCAAGCTTACAGAAGCCCCTCGGCTTGGAGGTATCAACCACACTGGAGCCTGGACAGGATCTGGCTCAGATGGACTGGGAAAGGAACCTCAAAGCACCCTATGCCTCAGGGGTTCCATGGGACGACCATCTGAAACATCACACCACACTCCAGCCTATCGAATTGGCATGCAAGAAAGGACTGAAGGATTCCACCAGTCTACTATTTTCCACTCTGACTGAGTCCAATGCTTCTGGGTCTCATGTGCTAGCCTCTCTTATCGCCTTTGAAAGTATGATGACAGAGCATGGAATGGAAGGGGTCTTCCAGCTTGTTGTTGGAGACCTAATACTAACACTATTAAAAAATCAACATGTTCACTGCTCCTGGACAGGTTTCAGAGTCTATGATGGAAAAATGGCATCAGGACCTCACAGTCAATGGGGTCAGACTCATCGATGCCAATGGGGATCTACAGAACAGAGTCTCTCAGTGTGAATGCCGGGCCACCGATGACAAGAAGCACACTATCACCCTGTCCGTCCCATCTGATTTGATTGAGGATGATTCTCCAACATCACTGTCACTGGGATTCCAGGTTGATTCACCCAATCCCGGTTCAGAGGAAAGCTATGGTGTTGATGACTTGAAGATCACGTCATCTTACACCTGCGCAAAGACACAATCTCCTTCTGCCACTACTGGCACTCCAACATCAGCCACCACAACTGGAACACCCAGTGGCGTCCCAGGCACAGCCAGCCACCGGGTCTCCTGTTACCAGTTCGCCCACAACAACAACCACAGGGACTCCATCTTCTGTCAAGATCTGTTACCCTGAGGTTGTCCTGGAGGAAGAGACCTTTGAAACTTCAGACTCCTCTGAACCGTGGAATGGTGGCAGCCTTTTTGACAGTGAGACTTCTGGTCAGTTCCTGGGACTCCTGGATGATGAGAATCCACAGATGTCAAACACATATGAGATCCCACTGTCCTCTGGACCAGAGCAAGAGGGCCAAAGGAGGTGCTAGTAGAGTTCACCCTGTACCAGCTTGATTCGACAGATTCATCCACCAAGTTCTACGCTGTGATCAATGATGAGCCCGTTGACTTTGGAGACATGAATCCCACTGTGATGGAGAGCCCCAGTCCGGAACCACTGACAGTGGCATTCAATGGACTCGAGTTACCCCGAAGAGTCTCTCAGTGTGAATGCCGGGCCCACCGATGACAAGAAGCACACAATCACCCTGTCCGTCCCATCTGATTTGATTGAGGATGATTCTCCAACATCACTGTCACTGGGATTCCAGGTTGATTCACCCAATCCCGGTTCAGAGGAAAGCTATGGTGTTGATGACTTGAAGATCACGTCATCTTACACCTGCGCAAAGACACAATCTCCTTCTGCCACTACTGGCACTCCAACATCAGCCACCACAACTGGAACACCCAGTGGCGTCCCAGGCACAGCAGCCCAACCGGGTCTCCTGTTACCAGTTCGCCCACAACAACAACCACAGGGACTCCATCTTCTGTCAAGATCTGTTACCCTGAGGTTGTCCTGGAGGAAGAGACTTTGAAACTTCAGATCCTCTGAACCGTGGAATGTGGCAGCCTTTTTGACATGAGACTTCTGGTCAGTTCCTGGGACTCCTGGATGATGAGAATCCACAGATGTCAAACACATATGAGATCCCACTGTCCTCTGGACCAGAGCAAGAGGGCGCAAAGGAGGTGCTAGTAGAGTTCACCCTGTACCAGCTTGATTCGACAGATTCATCCACCAAGTTCTATCGCTGTGACTCATGATGAGCCCGTTGATTTTGAGACATGAATCCCACTGGTGATGGAGAGCCCCAGTCCGGAACCACTGACAGTGGCATTCAATGGACTCGAGTTACCCCCGAAGAGTCTCTCAGTGTGAATGCCGGGCCCACCGATGACAAGAAGCACACATCACCTGTCCGTCCCATCTGATTTGATGAGGGATTCTCCAACATTACTGTCACTGGGATTCCAGTTGATTCACCCAATCCCGGTCAGAGGAAAGCTATGGTGTTGATGACTTGAAGATCACGTCATCTTACAACTGCGCAAAGACACAATCTCCTTCTGCCACTACTGGCACTCCAACATCAGCCACCACAACTGGAACACCCAGTGGCGTCCCAGGCACAGCCAGCCAACCGGGTCTCCTGTTACCAGTTCGCCACAACAACAACCACAGGACTCATCTTCTGTCAGATCTGTTACCCTGAGGTTGTCCTGGAGGAAGAGACCTTTGAAACTTCAGACTCCTCTGAACCGTGGAATGTGGCAGCCTTTTTGACAGGAGACTTCTGTCAGTTCCTGGGACTCCTGGATGATGAGAATCCACAGATGTCAAACACATATGAGATCCACTGTCCTCTGGACCAGAGAGAGGGCGCAAAGGAGGTGCTAGAGAGTTCACCCTGTACCAGCTTGATTCGACGATCATCCACCAAGTTCTACGCTGTGATCAATGATGAGCCGTTGACTTTGGAGACATGAATCCCACTGGTGATGGAGAGCCCCAGTCGGAACCACTGACAGTGGCATCAATGGACTCGAGTTACCCCCGAAAGTCTCTCAGTGTGAATGCCGGGCCCACCATGACAAGAAGCACACAATCACCCTGTCCGTCCCATCTGATTTGATTGAGGATGATTCTCAACATCACTGTCACTGGGATTCCAGGTTGATTCACCCAATCCCGGTTCAGAGGAAAGCTATGGTTTTGATGACTTGAAGATCACGTCATCTTACACCTGCGCAAAGACACAATCTCCTTCTGCCACTACTGGCCCTCCAACATCAGCCACCACAACTGAACACCCAGTGGCGTCCCAGGCACAGCCAGCCCAACCGGGTCTCCTGTTACCAGTTCGCCCACAACAACACCACAGGGACTCCATCTTCTGTCAAGATTGTTACCCTGAGGTTGTCCTGGAGGAAGAGACCTTTGAAACTTCAGATCCTCTGAACCGTGGAATGGTGGCAGCCTTTTTGACAGTGAGACTTCTGGTCAGTTCCTGGGACTCCTGGATGATGAGAATCCACAGATGTCAAACACATATGAGATCCACTGTCCTCTGGACCAGAGCAAGAGGGCGCAAAGGAGGTGCTAGTAGAGTTCACCCTGTACCAGCTTGATTCGACAGATTCATCCACCAAGTTCTACGCTGTCATCAATGATGAGCCCGTTGACTTTGGAGACATGAATCCCACTGGTGATGGAGAGCCCCAGTCCGGAACCACTGACAGTGGCATTCAATGGACTCGAGTTACCCCGAAGAGTCTCTCAGTGTGAATGCCGGGCCACCGATGACAAGAAGCACAAATCACCTGTCCGTCCCATCTGATTTGATTGAGGATGATTCTCCAACATCACTGTCACTGGGATTCCAGGTTGATTCACCCAATCCCGGTTCAGAGGAAAGCTATGGTGTGATGACTTGAAGATCACGTCATCTTACACCTGCGCAAAGACACAATCTCCTCTGCCACTACTGGCACTCCAACATCAGCCACACAACTGGAACACCCAGTGGCGTCCCAGCACAGGCAGCCCAACGGGTCTCCTGTACCAGTTCGCCCACAACAACAACCACAGGGACTCCATCTTCTGCAAGATCTGTTACCCGAGGTTGTCCTGGAGGAAGAGACCTTTTAAACTTCAGATTCCTCTGAACCGTGGAATGTGGCAGCCTTTTTGACAGTGAGACTTCTGGTCAGTTCCTGGGACTCCTGGATGATGAGAAATCCACAGATGTCAAACACATATGAGATCCCACTGTCCCTGGACCAGAGCAAGAGGGCGCAAAGGAGGTGCTAGTAGAGTTCACCCTGTACCAGCTTGATTCGACAGATTCATCCACCAAGTTCTACGCTGTATCAATGATGAGCCCGTTGACTTTGTGAGACATGAATCCCACTGGTGATGGAGAGCCCAGTCCGGAACCACTGACAGTGGCATTCAATGGACTCGATGTACCCCCGAAGAGTCTCTCAGTGTGAATGCC